TTTGGGTTCAATATAAGATAATTTTGTTCTTTCTTTCTAAATGGTGTAAATTCTCACCGTGAATATAGAAATATAATTCAGGTGGTTTCCCCCTGGTATCAATAGCGGTTCAGAGAGAGAGCTAGAAGTTACATAATCTAAGGGCTATAATAAATTATATAAAATGCCACATAAATCCCATAACAGTTGCTTTTTTAAATGTTCAGATAAAAAGTGTGATGTAGAATAAATGGATTGCTATGGTTGAACAATACTGATTTGCTTCTGTCGAAATAAGAACTATTAGCTATTAGAGAATATTAGCAAACCCTTCGGCAAAACATTTATTTAGGTTTTTAATTAGAATTTGAAAAGGAGAAAATTCAAAATAAGGTGACATCTTGTGATTAATTCTGGATTTCTTTCTTATTTTTCTTTTCTTTTCTTCAGTGAAATGAATCAAAAGTGAGATGTGCAGAATAGCTCCGTTTAAGCAAAATATATTTACTTTTAGATTAATTAAGACCCTAGCATCAAGACCTTAGTATTTCTTATTTATATTATTATGTTAATTATTCATTATATGGACTAAAAAAAAGCAATCTAAGTTAACATTTTAAAGCCACTGCTTCTAGAAATGTTTCCACCATTAGTGATTCCCAAAACTATATGATAGCGAGATTGCCTGTAGATTGAAAAGTCATTAGCTGCAGTACATCTCAGACTGCTTTTATGTGACAACTATTTTCCTAGTTCTTTGGTGAGATAAGGACAGAATGGTTCTGAGGATAATACCACATTTAATTAAATAATACTTAGCATAAAACCGTAGTTGACTAAAACCTGGTAATTCTTACGGGTTGATGCTAAAGCATTGCCTTCCTAAAGATAACTTCTTTGTCTCTTGCTCTTTAAAGATATTTCTCAGTTCTATCCTTTGAGATGAAAACGAGGAAACATAAATTAATATAAGACACATCTGATTATTTTATTCTTAGTTTATAAGGAATAATGTAATATTAAAACAAATGAAGTAGGATCTTAGTTGGCCACTTCCACTTTTGAGGAATATACCTTCAATAAACATAAAAGGGATTTTCTCAATGAGCCAATATCTGTCATAAAGCCCATGCCCCTCCCTTCACAGGAGAGTCCCTTAACCAGAGACTACTAATTTAAAATCGTAGGTAGAATAATTTCAGTGACTAAATATTTGGTTTTCTTAGTATCATTCAGTTCTTCCTACATTAAAGAGAAAACAATCTGGAAGCGTGAAAAGAGCAGAAAAAAAGTGTCATTTGCTGGTGGGGAAATTGAAGGAGAGACATAGAAGACACAGACCAGGCAGTGCCCACTGGGAGCTCATAGTCAGCAGGGGATCAGGAAGACATCCTGGAAAAGGCATGTTTGAAGTAGGATTTGGAAGACAGAAGAAAATTTTGCCACTTGGAAAGGGAGAACAAGGACATTCTGGGATGAAAGAAGAATATGACATATTTGGGGATTGATTGGAAAATTTGGGGAGTGGGGAAAGACGGGGCTAGATAAGGAAGCAAGGGGCAGATCATTGAAGGACCTGGTATGTCATGCTAAGGAATTTGGCTGTACCTGGTAAGGAATGAGAAACCATTTAGACACTTTAGATGGAGAAAGATCACTCAGGGAACAAGATGGAAGACGTATAAAAGAAGGCAGAGGCCAGGAGCAAGGGAACTTTGACTTAGGCATGGGCAGTGAGCAAGGGAAGATGGCTCCAGGATAATGAAGAGCAGGAATAGATGCTATTGACTGCATGGGGAAGGGTTGGGGAGGGAAGGATCTAGTATAAAGCACAAGTTTTTTATTTAAATTTCTGGGTGGGTTGTGATAGTATTGACTAAGAATGAGCATTGGGGAGGAGGAAGAACAAATTTTTAGACAGACTCTGATGAATGTTTCCTTGGGTTTAAATTTTTAGGAGATATGCATGGAAAGGCATCCAAAGGACAGTTGGACTTACAGATCTTAGAGAGAGAGATCTGTGCTAGTGATATGAATATAGGAGTCATTCCTCAAGACGTCTAGGGCCGCATCCATAAGCACAGATGAGTTTTCACAAAGATACTGTAATATGGTGTGAGGATAATCATTAAGGCAAGATCACTATTTAAAAGCAATAACTGAAATATAATTATCAGAGAACAGTGAGAAAAATTGGAGGAGTAAGAGACGAAGTATAAAGACATAGTAACACTGAAATTAAAGGAAGGCAAGATTTCAAAGTAAAAGTGTTAACAGGCTCACACGTTGCAGACACATTCAACAAGCTTTAGAGAGGTAAGTGTCCCTTGACAGGGGGGATATGGAGGCTTTAGGTATTCTCTAGGCTCTAGATATTCTCTAGAGCAGTGTTAGTGGACTGATGGAAGCAGGAGCCAAATTGCAATTGGATGAAGAATGAATAAGAAGAAAACAAGGTATCTTGGTCAGGCTTCTTTTCAGGATTGTTTGGATGAAGGGAAGGAGGGTGATGAGTGGAGGCTAATGGGGAAACACAGGGCTCAGAGTTTCAGCTTACGTTTGCTCCCTGAATGGAAGGAGTAACAGAGAGGAACCAGGGAGATCTAGGTGGGAGATAATGCTCTGTTACTACTGATAATGATAAACAGACGTAAAGTAGCTAGCTTTTTTTTTAAAAATCATATTCTATGGCAGGCACTGTATTAGGTACTTTACATGAAGTATTATGTTTTTTCATCCTCAAATGGAGTAAGATCTCTGAGATAGTGGATAGTAAAAAAAAAAAAATTGAAATTTATGGAGTAATATAAATTATAAAAAGAAATTCATAAAAAGAAATTAGAAAAAGAAAATCGAAGACCAACAAAAGCAAAGAAATAAGCTGTAGAGAGCATTGCTAGACATCCTCTTGCAGTGACTGGACCCATTATACTGAAACAGGGTCATCAAGGGACAGGTAACTTTTGCCTGCCTCAGACATTCTATACATTCTAGTGCATTAATTATACCAAGAATTATTGCTTGCAGATTTACATTCCATGATCTGGAAAAAAAAATACAGGTAGAATACCTGATTTATTTGGGCTGAATGATTTGGGTCTATAATATTTGAGATATGCAATTATCTGTTGCTTTTCATGATAATAGAGGAGACCTTTGGCATGGGTACACTAAAATAATACCATGCAATTCAATACATTTGCTTCTAGAATGCAGTTTATACTAGAAACTTTGCCTCAGACTTCCATAGCGAGGGAACTTCTTGGACAGAGAGTAAAATTTGTTCATAATATGTAATCATTTACCACAAAACCAGTAAAAGGGCACTGTGATTCCTGGGAACTTAGGGATCATACAAGAGGATGGGGTTAACTGCGGATGATTCAGATGTCTGAGAAGAGGCTGAGTCTTGGAACCAGAACTGTTCCCTGAATGAAACACAACCTGGGAGGTCACTCAGTTTGAGGTGCTGCGTGGAAGTTCTTCCACCGAAGCAGAAGGATACGGCAATGCATGTAAATGGGGCGGGGTGGGGGGTGGTGGGTGGGTCCTGGCCAGCGGTTTGCATCAGGGCACGCAGTACAAAGTAACAAGGGAGTTGGGAAAGCTGGGGGGAGCAGAAGGGCTCTCCATCAGAAATCAAGAAAGACAGCAGACAGTATCCAGGATGTTTGTAAGAGGCCGTATTCTAGTCCATGAAGCTGGGGGTTGGTGGGATCTGACCATTGTAAATCCCTCGTCTCAGTTGCCAGGAGCAAATTGCCATGTCGAGGAGCACAAACAAGTGGGGAATGATTAAGTTCAGATATCAACACAGACAAAATCCAGGGCCATGCTAGTCACAAGGATGTTGCCTCAAGGGGTTTCACTGAATCCCTCCTGTCCAGGGTCAGATAAGGGCACGAGGAAGATGACAAGGCTGGTCAGTCTGGAGAACTCCGGGCTGAGAGCAAGGGATGAAAGGACAAGGGGAAGCTGTGATGACCTTTGGTTCCCTCTATGACTCAGGATTTGTATCAAATCTATTTCTGAAAGGACCTGAGGCACCTAAGGCTGAGATTAAAATTTTATGTGCAAAGAAGCAGATGTGGGTTAATTAAAATGGCGTTTTAAATGTTGAGATCAAAGATAAAACAGATACAGAAGTGAATCAACACGAATACTGTAGCCATAAATGACTTAGTTTATATGAAGGAATTGGGTTTTTTCCTACTTGAGAAATTATTGCACTTTCTTATTTAACATGAAATTCTACAACGGCCAATGAACAGGGTCTGATTTTTAGTCACCTACAAAATGACCATGTATTCACTTGCAGGTATTGTGGAGAGGAACATGACCTAACTTCTTTTGCTAATTAACTGTTTATCACAGTTGTCTGGTGATCACAGTATGAAGGAAACCGACACAGGTGTGCAGACTGTGTGAGCATCAGTCACAGGCCCAGGAACCTCTGCTGTCAGCAAACCTGCTTGAGAATGACCAGAGGTTGGCACTGAGCGAGGCCTATTGCCCATCAGGTGTAAGGGCACAGAGAGTTTTGTGTGCATAATTATAGTGGCCTAGGTTAGCCTGGGGCTCCTATTTTGGATTATTTCTCCATGCTTAGATGTTTTTTGTGCAGGGAATTAGAGAGTGAAAGAACATGTAAAGGGACTTTCCTATCTGAAAAACACAGAAAGCTCGAGAAGTACTTGAATTTTCTCACACGATTGGCTTTACGTATATTCTATCAGAGGTTTCCCCTTTATTTCACATTTTAAAACTGAGTATATAGCTTCCCTTTATATGAGGTCATTTAAAAAAACATTTTACTAAGACTTAAAATAAATGTACTGGATATATATATGTATATATATATTTTTTAATGTCAGAGGATCCATTCGTTCAAAGGCACGTTAATTCTGTTTTCTGCATTAAGCACAATTTTCTTTGCAAGCACTTGTCATGGCTCAAATTCATAATGTAATACCCTCTGAATTCTGCCCAACGTTACCAATAAAAACGTCTGTTCGACTTACGTTGAAAATGCATTATTCTGCTTTTCACATCGTATGCCTTTACAGCTTAACCCTTTTGTTTCTTCATAATAGAAATACAATTGATTTAGGCCATTTGCAAATGCTAGCAACACAAGGCAGTATATGAATAGAAACTTCAAAATGTCCAGGAGCATTCTTCCCAGAGATATTTGCAGAGGCCCCAGGTGAGAATTGGCAGTAAACAGCGAGATCAGGCGCAAGGAACTGAAGATGTTTGCGATGGCAAATAAAGCTTCAGCCACCAGAGTGGGATGCCACATGTCCCAAGATTCTCGTGGATTAAGTGCACTGTACTGGAGAAAAAAGAGAAACACAGAGAACATAAAACAAACACATACATATGACTATGTCAAGTTCAGGTCAGAATGCTTTTGCAGGTAGATCCAGCACAGTGACCTGTTGTCCTTTATGATGGTGGCAGCGATGTTCATCTACACAAAAATAAAAGTTTATTAAAGACTTTTATAATTTATAAGCTTTAATCAAAGTGGCCTTCCTGGTCTGTCCTTGTCATTTGTAGTACTTGTTAATATGTGAATTACATCTGACCTTGACCTTTTCGATTGACTTTAAAAAAAGAAAAGAAAATGTTACATAGAAAAAAAAGCTGATTTTATATGGGGAGAAGACAGCAACATGATAACAAAGAAAGCTACGTTATAGAGGAAAACTACTAAATTTTGAACAAAATTATCAATGGTTTTACTTACTGTATTTGACACATTTGCCTAGTCTAGATGAATGCATGTGGGATACAAATTACAAATAAATGAGTGGAAAGTACTGGTCCATTGCCCTGGAATAGTAATGACCAATATGGGCATAACTGTCGGTGCTTCGTATCTGTTATATCCTAAATGCAGATAAAACCCAACTTGGAAATCATCCTGGAAGTCAATGAGTTGTTAATTTTTTTATATTTAATATGTAAAACATATGATATTTATTTGAACATTCCTTAATTAGATAAAATATGTGATTTGAGAGAAATATTTGCTATTTTATTAAGCTTTGATGAGCAATCATTTAAAAAGTAAGACCAGGGGCGCCAGGGTGGCTCAGTCAGTAAAGCATCTGCCTTCGGCTCAGGTCATGATCCCAGGGTCCTGGGATGGAGCCCCGCATTGGGCTCCCTGCTCCTCGGGAAGCCTGCTTCTCCCTCTCCCACTCCCCCTGCTTGTGTTCCCTCTCTCACTGTGTCTCTCTGTCAAATAAATAAATATAATCTTTAAAAAAATAAATAAATCAAAAGTAAGCCTAAGTTAATTAAAATGCCAGCTTTGAATTATCTCGACACTGAGCTATATAAAGGGCAAAATGAAATTTATCCTTTGTATTACTGAAGTAAATTTATATCCTTTTTAAAAAAAAGGATCGAATATGCTCTTTGAAATACTGTGTTACAAAAATCTATAATTAGGGGTGCCTGGGTGGCTCAGTCGTTAAGCATCTGCCTTCGGCTCAGGTCATGATCCCAGGATCCTGGGATCTAGCCCCACATCGGGCTCCCTGCTCTGCGGGGAGCCTGCTTCTCCCTCTCCCCCACCCCCCCTCTTATGTTCCCTCTCTCACTGGTCTCTCTCTGTCAAATAAATAAATAAAATCTTTAAAAAATAAATAAATAAAATAAAATAAATCTATAATTAAACCTGTGTAGGAATCAAACAATAAATTGAGTTGCCTTCTTCATACACATCCCTAAAAAATATGTCTAGACAACTGAATCTTTTTCCTAATAATCATGTTAGAAAAAACAGTTCTTCTTCTGTATAAGTCCCATCAGAATATCAGAATATTGGGCGCCTGTGTGGCTCAGTTGGTTGGGCGACTGCCTTCAGCTCAGGTCATGATCCTGGAGCCCCGGGATCGAATGCCGCATTGAGTCTGTTTCTCCCTCTGACCCTCCCCGCTTTCATGCTCTCTCTCTGTCTCATTCTTTCTCTCTCAAATAAATAAATAAAATCTTAAAAAAAAAGAATATCAGAATATTTCCATTCTTTTTATATTGCATTTTATACCAAAGACCTCTACAAATGTTAATTAATTCTCTTGAAACTAATAGATCGTATTTTTTTAATCTCGCTGGGGAGAAAATACATCACAAGCGTCTGATTTTGTTTAACACTCAGACTCTTGCTTGAGTGATAATTTAAAACAATCAAGTTTGAGGTAGAGGGAAATTATTTTCTATTTTTAAATGCTGATAACTGTTCTTGAACATTGCTAAATTCACCATAAAATAGCTAATCATTGAAGATGCATAAACACTTTAAAACATTATTTTTTATCCATTATATCAAAGCGAGGGTTTGTGGTATCAACTACTATCTAATTCTCTTCTCTTGGTCACCCCATATAAAATGCACCTTTTCCTTCAAAGACTAAGATCACCTTCACTTTTTATTCACTTCTCTTGAAAGACATGTTTAGGTAGAGAACATCCCCTCTGCCCCCCATTGATGGCTAATTCTATATTTCTCTTTCTCTCTCCGCTAAGCAAATATGACTTAGGACTATATCTCAAGATGTACAAAATATGACACAGTAAGCATTCTTAAGGATGTGACTGTTGGAATTCCTCCTAACATTTAACACAATGGTGCATGCAATGGGTACCCAAGAAACATTTTCTTCCATTGAATACTTATTGTCCACAGAGGATGGGAGGGACACCTAATCATAAAAATGCTCGAAGAGTGCTGTGGGAATAGAGAAGAGAAAGTGATAAATTCCATCTGGGGCTGATGGGGCCGGAAATGAACAGAGATTACATGCTGTTCAAGCTTTAAGGGTTATTTGATATTATCCAATCTCCCGGAGATGCTGATCCATGTTCTAGCTCTTGCAGGCAGTTGGGGGCAGTGGGATATAGAATCCATCATCACAGGGTGACGTGGTACTTTAGATTCCCTTCTTTGCAAACTGTCTCAGCTAGGACTAGCAAAATCAAGAGGAAGGCTTTCCATTTTACAGATCACGAGATGCTAGATTCTGTCCCGGTCTAGTTACCCAAGTCTGCTTCAAAGTCTAGCACTTCTGGTAATTGTTGGGAAACAATGTGAATATGTTCACATTCATGCATGGTCAGGGCTTCCTGAGCAAAACATTGCATGGCTGTTAAAAGATGTCTGAATGGCAAATAAGCCTGGGAAGTTAAATATAGAGACTTTCTGAGAGATTTGGAAACATCTCCCCTGGAGCCATCTGCTTAGATTCTAAGGATAATAAAACTAGGGACCTTTGCCTCCCCTAAGAGAGTTTGTTTACTTTAGAAAGTTAAGGTCTTTCTCTGGTGGGAAGACGGGCAGCTGGCCCAGCTGCACTATACCAGCTCTGAGATTCCGATTTTCCCAGTTCCCTTCCTGTAGTACCAGCTCCTGTATGCAAAGGGTACAGCAGGCTCTCATCTGTTGCCCTGTGGGGAACTGGAGGGTGGGGGACCAATGTGAAGATTGTTATGTAAGTCAATAATTTGTCTGTTCTCTGATCCAGAAATCTCATCTTCTGTCAGGATTCAATAGAGATATAAACATTTAGTAATTATCTCTTGATGTCATTCTTTGAAGGTTTGCTTTTTAATTTTTCTCCTGTCCTTCACGTATATATTTCACTTTGGTTTTTAAACATAGGCATGGATTTTACAGAGCAATTTTTAAAATTCTTACAAACTTCAGCGTTCTTTGAACTTGGAGAGAAAAACTGTAATTCTTCAGTTTTAAATGTATTTTCCAAACCCTATTATTAGGTATTAAAAGCTTAACTTGAATTTACAATTTCTCGTTGGCTCTGTTTTCTAAAACTTCTTCACAGAATCTATGTTCATTTTTTAATCTCTGCATGTCTGCCTCCCGCCATTCGTGATGCTGCTTCTCGGGATCCCTTGCTGGTCACTCTTTCTCACTTGCTCCTTAAATACTGACTTTGCTTCACAAGCCTCTTCTCCTTCTGTCTACTCCCCCTGCAGGTTTTCAATGATCTCAGCTGTCTGTTATGGGCTGATGACGCCCAGTCCTCCAACTCCAGCCCGGACGTCTCCCTTTACAGTCATATTTTCTATTCTACTGCCTCATTTACGTGTCCACACAGATATCTCCCAGGCATCTCACCCCACAGGCCAGAATTGGGACTCATGATCTGTTCCTCCTCAAACTCTCTCTCCGTTTATGCTCCCTGATCTTAGTGAGTGGCAGCAAATCACCCAAAGTAGAATTTGAGGTTGAGAGTCTTCATTGGTATCCTCACTGGTTAGAAAAGATCCTCTGGAGATGCCTGGGTGGCTTAGTCAGTTAAGTGTCTGCCTTTGGCTCAGGTCAGGATCCCGGGGTCTTGGGATCGAGCCCCATGTCATGCTCCTTGCTCAGAGAGGAGCCTGCTTCCCTCTGCCTGCCACTCCCCCTGCTTGTGCTCTCTCTCTCTTTCTTAAAATAAATAAATAAAACCTTAAAAAAAGATTCCCCTATTTCCCTCAGAAATTATTATAATAGCCTCCTAATTGCTCTACCTACACTGGACCTTATTTCTTTAATCACCTGTTTCCTCCAGAATCATCGTTTAAAAAGGCCAGACCACCTCATATCTTGTTTCATGTTCTCCAAGAATTCTGCGATGTTCTTGAGATGAAATTCGTTTTCCAACATGTCACATGAAGCCTCTGGAATCTGGGTCCTGACTTCTTTTTGAGATTGACCTGCCATTTGTACTGTTTGGTACTTAATGCTCTGGCTCAAACCTTTAGTACTGGTCATTCCCCAAATTACTTCACATTCTCACCAAAATTCCTTTCTATGAATATCAGTCTCTTTGTCTAGAATGGATTTAAGTTCTAATTATTTTGATTCTTCAGCTGTTAATTATTCATTAAATATATGCTGAGTGCCTACTCTGTGTTAGACACCATCTTCAGGGTTCCCAGTGGTAAGCAAATAAATTCAGTTTATGTCATATGAGCTTATTATATAGTGAAGAAACAGCCATTAAATAAAAAATGCTCATCGTTCCCTTGACAGGTACTCTTTGACCACAGAGGAGTGGACACTAGGGTCCTGTTGACCGGAGCTGGTATTTTCATGTTATAGAATAATCCTTGAAAGGAAAAGACCAAGTATGTTATTATACTTGAATTAAAATAATTAATTTTTAAAAAAAGGTAAGAGAAAGATCACGAGCTACTGTGTACATTGAAGCCTTCCTAGGGCCATCAATTCCTGCCTTCCTCTTTCTTTCAAATATTTGCTTTTCAGTAAAATATACTACAGTATGGTTTTGCTCTAAGCCTGCATTTTTACTCAGATTT